GCGCCGGTGTGCGGGTGGAGGGGGGGGGGGGGTGGGGGCAGGACGGGTGAGGGGCGGCTGGGGGAACTGGGCTGATCGAGTCTGGAGAAGAGAGGACCGAGGGGGTTTGACAGCAGCGTTTAGCTCCCTGCAGGGGGTTGCAAAGAGGACGGAGCTGGGCTGGTCTCGGTGGGGGCAGATGGCAGACAAGGAGCAATGGGCCCAGGTTGCAGCAAGGGAAGCTGAGGTTGGATATTAGGAAAAACTCTCACGAGGAGGGCAGTAAAGCACTGGGACAGGCTGCCCAGAGAGGTGCTGGAGTCTCCATCCTTGAAGGTTTTTAAGACCCAATTAGACAAAGCCTTGGCGGGATGATGTAGTTGGGGATGGTCCTGCTCTGAACAGGAGGCTGGACTAGATGTCACCTCCTGAGGTCCCTTCCCACCCTCATTTCTCTGATTTGATGCAGCCCGGGATGCCGGTAGCCTTCTCGGCAACACAGGCACGCTGCTGGCTCATATTCAGATTATTGTCCACTGTCACCCCAGGTCCTTTTCTGCAGAGCTGCTGTCCAGCCAGCCAGCCCCCAGCCTGCCCCAGTGCCTAGTCTGCTGTGTTTTCTATACGTAATATATCATCCGGCAAATGAATGCACCTTTCAAGAAAGGGTGTTTTGTTTTCTTTTTTGCTTCCATCTCGAGTGGGATAATCTAGCTCCAGGCCCCTCACTTATGAGTGAAGCTTCTAGTTTCTTTTTACCCGGAGAAAAGTCTGTGCTGTGTTATACGGGAGGATGCACCATACCATCTGCAGCCCCCTTGTCAAAACGCTAGGTTCACCGGTGCTTGGGTTAGCTGCCGCCTGTGAACACAGGGGGCTGGAGTTAGCACAGCGGGCATGGCAGGCCCCTTTCCATCCTGCCAGGCACACAGCGAAAGCTAGAGATGCTCCGTCCCCCATTGATCAGCCTGTTAGAAGGAAGGCCGCACAATGGCAACTTGAGTTGAGGTCCCCATGTGCCCTCCCTCCTGTCCTCAGATGCCCCCATTATTCTGCCCCCTCTGTGATCCCACACCTGCACCCACGTTGCCATGGCAGAGCACAGCTTCACTGGGGTGGGGCAGGAGGGAGAGGCACGATCACTGGGCAGAGCACACTGATGCCTACACTTGTGCCTGTGTCACCCCAGAACGTGGCGGATGTCACAATGGCCGTGTCACAATGCCCCATGGCTGCTTCAGCTGGGCCCAGGGGCTCAGGGCTCACTTTGCCGCTGGGAGGCATTGCCTGAAGTCACGCCGCTGCTCAGGGAGTCCGCCTATCTGTTTTCCCTTTCTTACACCAAGAAAGGGAGGAAACGGAACTTCTCCCACCTCCTCTGCTGCCCCCTCGCCTACTACTACTATTGCTACCGCTACCGCTTCATCTACAGGTGGAAGATGCTGCCTTTTCAAAAGAGGTTATTACTTTTTCTTTTTCTTTCGGGGGCATTTAGACTTTCCGGGCTGGAAAGAGCCCCAAATAAACGGGGTTATTTGGTTAAGAATGCCAGGGCAAGGGAGAATTGCCCGTTACCAGACGTGGGGGCATCGCAGCCTGGTGACTTCATTGTTCATTGAAACAAGTCAGCGCCTGGGGCTATTTTATAATGTCAGATTGCATTTGCAGTCAAAGCTCCTTGGGGTAGGAGATGCCCCTTTCTGTGTCTGTGCAATGCTTGGCACCGCAGGGAACAGGGTTACACCTGGGACTTGTAGGTGCCCCTACAGCACAGATTGAGTGTTCAGTGGCAACACGTGATTTCACGCCCGCTCGGGGTGTCTGAATTTCGGAATCTTCTGGGAGTCAGGGCCCCACGAGGGGTTGCAAGCTGCCTATCCAAGAAGCGTAGGTCCATTTTGAATGTCTATTCGCAGAGCTTGACAGGGGGATCTGAAATCCCTCCCTGCCCCCGTCAGCTTTTTATATCAAGGTAGATCTGGGTTTTCATTCATTTTGAGGACTTAATTGGAATCTGACCATCGGTGAGAGCTGCATGACATGGGGCCTGGAAGAGATGGGAAACTGAGGCAGGAAGGGGGACCCAGGGAGTCTGGGCTGGGCTGCGCTGGGGAACTGACCCACGGCGCCAGCCAAGTGCCCCAGGTGGAGAGAGAATAAACAGGGCTTTCTCACCAGGAGGGCGGTGAAGCACTGGAATGTGTTACCCAGAGAGGTGCTGGAGTCTCCATCCTTGGAGGTGTTTAAACCCCGGCTGGACAAAGCCTTGGCTGGGATGATCTAGTTGGGGCTGGTCCTGCTTTGAGCAGGGGGTTGGACTGGATGTGACCCCTGAGGTCCCTTCCCACCCTCATTTTCTATGCTCCACACACTAAACTCATGCCCTGATTCCACAGCTCCTCTGAGAAGTTTCCTAACAGTCCAGTCAAGCAGGGGTCGACCCTGGCCAGTGGTTAGAAGCACACGTTCCCCAAATCACAGCAACCATTCAGTCTCCCCTCCAGAAGGCTCATAGCCAGGGTTGGGGGACAGGGATGTGGGGAAGGCTCTGTGCATAGCAAGGCACCCATGTGGCATAAGTGTGGGGAGCAGGCCCTGGGGAATTAGACTGGATTCTTGTTGCGAGGAGCTAGATGAGACCTTGGCATCCCCAGCCAAAGCTGGGATCTCAGCCCTGGGCTCAAAGCTGCTGTTCTCTCTCTTTCCCCTCCATCATCTTCTAAGAATCACCATGACCGAGCGGGAGAGCCTGACTCTCAGGCCTCGCTACTGCCTTCAGTGCTCCTGAGTCTGTGGCCGGCCGGCCAGACGGGAGAGGGGCCGCCCCAGGAGACCAGCCGGGCCTGAGGGAGCTGTACAGGGTAAGGAGGTAGGGGGTCAGGCGAGAGCCGTTGAGAAGAGCACCAGAGCGGGCAGCCGGCAGGCTTTGGGCACAGAGGCTGGGTGCTCACCTGCCCCAGGGTCGTGGGTCCGTGGTAACAGGGTCTTTGCTGCAGGCCGGGAACTTGACCGTGCTGGGCGAAGCCCTTCTGCTCCCTGATCTCCCGGCCCAGCTGGACTTCCACGTCGCGCTCAGCCCACAGCGCTCTGCTCACTGGCACAGCGTGCGCAGCCGGCGCAAGCTCTTCCTCGACGTTCCCCGCAGGGTCCTGGATCAAAACAGTCGCCAGAGGTGAGGGCTGCGGCTGGCCAAGCATGGAGGGAGGGATGTCAGGCATCCTTGTGCAGAGCTTTGCTCGGGAGAAAGCAGCCCTTAGAACAAGACGTGCCATCTTAGCTTGAAACATGGGAGGTGTTGGGTGGATGTTGGGGAGGACTGTCTAGCGGGGGGGGTGTGTCATTCAGCTCTAAAGCAGCCCCCTGCGGAGACACAGGAAGTCTCCAGTTCTGGGGGTTTTCAAGAGCAGGTTGGACAGACGTGGCTGGGCTGATTTAGGCAGGGACGATCTTGGGGGCTGGATGAGATGGGAGCTCCCAAGCGCCCCTCAGACCAACTCCTCTGTGATTCTCGGATGTCTGAGATCACTGGAACTGCTGCTTCCTCGCAGTGAGCAAGCACCCAATGAGCCAGCAAACACCCTGCACCCTCGAGCTCGGTGTGGATGAGAGCTGTCTGGCCCCTGGGAGCTCCCAGCACCCGCTACTCCCTGCCTGTGGAGTGCTGGTCTACAGCTGTCTGACCCATGCTCAGAGCCCAGCCTTTCCGCTGGAGCCAGATGCCCGCCGGATGCCAATAGCAGCAGTGCCCTGAGCCCCCTCCAGCCACCTTTGCAAATCCCAGGCAGGGGCTTTCTCCCAAGGGTCTACACTGAATTTGATGGGTTCCTCACCCCCCACAGTCTGACCGCAACGCTGGATTACGTGGAGGAGAAGACAGACGTGGACTTGGTCTTCGTGAACTTCCAAAGCGCCCGCAGCGACCGTGGTAAGGGGCCCTCAGCACTGGTGGGAGGGATTGGTGACAGCAAGGTTCTGTCCATGAGCCATGCTTCTGAGTCCAGTCCATGCCCAGGGCTGTTTTCACCCCCAGCCCTGCAAGCTGTCAGGGGAGCAGCCCCATCCAGCTGGTCTGCTTTATACCATCCCTGTGAAGCAGACACTCCCACGGTAGAACGCAGCAGGTCTCAGTTCCTGGCTGGCTGCTGGAGGGGAGGAAACAGCTCCAGGATCTGCAGCTCTGAGCGGCTACAGGGGCACAAGCCCCTGCTCCAGTATTTAAGTGGGGGAAACTGTTTGGGATTGAGTTGGGGTCTGTCCCTGGTGCTATCCTGGACCCTTAGATCAGGGAACCAGCAGGTTGTTGAAAAACTGCTCCAGACAGGAGCAGCTGCTGCTATTCACCAGACAGCACATATCCTGGGCGCATCTACATGAGACACTAACTGCGTGGTAGCCTAATTGTACTGTGCAGTAGCATTCAGGGCAAAAACCATCCCAATATGCTACTATGCAGTAGTAATAGGCTGCTGCAGAGTTAGTGTCACTAAAAAGCTGTGCGCTGGCGCTACTGCACATTTAGTACTTGGCACATTAATGAGCATGTAGATGCAGCCCCTTATACCAAGACATGCAGTAGTTACCTCGCTTCCTATCCTGTTGATCAGACAGCTGAGGGTCTCTCTGGGACAGTCAGGGGCCCGGTCCAGTAGTCCATCTGTTTAAGTGCCTGTGGCCTCCACTCTCGTGTTGTGCAGGTGACCTACTGCGAGCATTTGGCTACCTGGGTTTTGAGACAGTCCGGCCCAACCACCCCGCGCTGCCTCCCTGGGACAATGTCATCTTCATGGTTTACCCCATTGAGCAAGATGTCCAGCCTGCGCCGGAATGAGCCTCCTGGTGCCAGCACTCCAGGATGCTGGGCTGGAAGTGGATGGATGAGCTTCTGCAGCCCCCAAGCCTTGGCTGGGCAGTGGCTGCAGGGCCTCAGGTGCAACTCAGTGCCCCAGTGAGCAACATTAAACAGGTGTGAAAGTCCTTGTGCCTCATGTGTGGCAGCTGTGTAGCCTATGGGGTGTGCATGTGTGGGGCATGTACTATGTGCTGGAGGGGTAAAAGCCCTGGTAGAAGCATGCCCCAGCCTGGGGGGAAAATGATGTCTCACACCCAAGGCTGACAGGGTGAATGTTCCCTCCAGTCCCAGAGTTGCCCCATCCCTGGGCCTGTGTCCAGACTCAAAGGGACCCATCTGCCACCAGGAAGAACCCTCCCCCCAGCTTCCAGCACTTGGGCTGAGAGTCCAGGCACCACAGGGGAATGGATGTGGACACTTACAGCCTGCTCCCAGGGCCCAGATTTCACAGCCTGGGAACCCCCCTCCTCTCCAGATCCTCTTTCTACCGCTAACACCCACTTGAGACCACTCACTGCAGCTCTTGAGGGGGGCTGGCAGCTTGCAGCTGAGGATAAGACAGCACCTGATAGGACAGACCTACCCCTAGCACGCTGGCAGATGACGAACTAGGCAAGGCTATACACTGAGCATGATAGCAGATGTCGGTCTGTCCCCCTCTTCCTCTGGAACCAGAGAGCCCAGGGGAAGCGGGTACCATCAGCCCTACACAGCTTCTATGTGCTCAGAGCCACGCGCACACACACACACACACACACACGGATTCTGTGCAAAACTCAACAGAACTTTATTAAAGCAGCAAACTGGCCTCTTCTTTTCTCTCTTCTCACCCGCAAAAATGGGGCTGAACTGAAGACAGCATGCGCCTGTACAATCCTGAGTGAAACGTTCTCATAGCAAACTCTGGTAAGGGTATAAAGCATCTCAGGTGAAGGGCATTTGAGACCTGCCAACCTCCCCTGAAGCCAAGGTGCAAAGTTCCCCATGCAGCAACTCAAGTGTTCCCAGGCTAGATACGGCCTGCCCAGGCTCCTTGTTCATGCCTCAAGGGAGACTTGAGAAGTTGGGAGAGGTTGGAGGTGCCTGGCTGTGGCACAGGTGCTCATCCAGCATGGCAAGGGAGTGACAGTCCCCCGCTGGTGGGAGCCAAAGCTGGTTCAGATTCATCCTGAAACCAGGTGTGAACTGTCCTAGGCTGGTTTGGATGTCAGGGCTGCAGCTCTAGCAGATGAAAGCATGCAGAGGCCGCAGCGGTGTCAGGCCAAGGAGGGAGCCGGCCGGAGGAGGAGTAGGGGCAAATGGATGGAGTGGGCCTAAGCCTGCTGCTCATTACTCTTCCGGCCCCATTTCTCTAGGATTCCTATGATCACCATGCAGGGCTGGGCAGTGCCAGTATCAGCTGCCAGCCCCCGGGACAGAACCAAGGTCCTCCGTACTATTGAGGCCCGGAGCCTCTGGTCCTGCTTTCTCCCAAGAGGGTACCCCTGGCTCTCCTCCTTTGCTCCCAGGCCAGGGGCCCTGTGCTGGAGCCGCTACAGGTAGAAGCAAACTTACATTGCAGCCTGTCTGGTCCCTGTGGCATGGGGAAGGCTCACAGGAACTCATCCTCCACCAGCAGGATGTCATCACCACTCCCAGACACAGAGGCAACTTCTGTGGAGAGATGGGAGTTAGGATGGGTGCTGGCCTGGACTGCCCCACGCACGCAGCGACCCACAGTGGCCCGGATGCAGGGGGAGTGCCGGATAGAGACCCAGGCCCCAAGGGCAGAAGACTTGCCGTGCCAGGGAAGTGCCCACAGGGTGGATCCAGAGGGGGTGCAGTGCAGAAGAGGGAGAAAGATAGCAGCCAGCAGGAGCTTCACCCCCTGAGCTCCAGACCCACAGCTGCTGAACTCAGAGTTGGGGGCAGGGGGCTGCACCCCTGCACCCTGTCCTGGTTCTGCTGCTCGGTGCCTAAGGGAGGAAAGGGTTTCTGGATCCGCCACAAACGCCTGCAGCCCATCACCAGTGCTGCAGTGACCCACGGAGGCCAAGCACTGTTCAGTCATGCTGGGGGGCAATGTGGAGGATGCCCACGGAGCTGCCCTGAGGTGCGAGAGCACGGCAGCAGTGCTTGAACCCCATGGCTCTGAGATGGTGCAACCACAGGCCTGTCTGGCATTTACAGGGAATGAGCTTGGTGAAAGCCTAGGCCCCTACTGACCCACCACAATCCCTCCCACAGCAACAGAGCTGTCACCCATGCACCACAGGCTCCTGGAGCACTGACCTCCACTCCACAACCACAGGGAGGGTGGGGGAACTTGGCAGGCCACAACCTGGGCACCCCTGCTTTTCACACGTATGACACCCTGGACCGTGGAGATGTGCCCACAGTGGCCCCTGTACCTCCCGCCTGGGCGCTTGGGGCCCCTTCCCCCTGCTTGCCATCTGAGGAGCTGATGAGGACGGTGCTAGGGAGGGGAGAATCGGCAGCATGCGAGTCTCTACCAAAGCCCGAGCCAAGCTTGCTGTAGAAGATGGAGGAGTCGGCTTGTTCGTCTGAGGTGGACAGGTAATAAAAGCAGCCCCGAATGGAGCCAACGCTGCTGTCCCCAGAGGCCAGGCTGGGGGAGAAGCCATCCTTCGACAGGGAGGAGCCGCCACTTGAGAGGGAGATGGGGGAGGCCTCTGCTAGGGCCCCAGCAGGGCTGGAGGTCCAAGGGGAATTTGCCACGTCGGTCCCAGGGTCTGGCTGAGACCCCCCTTCGCCTGGCTCCTGGCTGCCCACCATCACACTCAGGCCCTTGGTGCCCACTGGGGGAGCACGGATGCTGAGGGACTGGAGTGGGAGGACAAGGGTCTCCTGGGAAGGGGGCTCAGCTGGCTCGGGGTCACCACGGAGCTGCTCGATGGAGCCATCTGCCAAGCCAAAGGCAGGTGTCACAGGGCTGCCATGGCTGGCTCCAGCCCATGGGGATGGTCAGTCCTGAGGGCACGGTGGCATTGTGCCCTGGCAGGGACATTCTGGACTGTGCCCCTCCCCTGCTCCCAACCAGACATTCAGCAGAGTCCCTCTATAGACAGTCAAGGCCTCAGCCTCCAGCAGGATTGAGCAGCCTCATGGATAGCCCTGGAGCCATGCTCACCTTGATTCCTGCCCATGGGGTTAAGGTGCTGGAGCCGGGTTTTTCTTACAAGCTGACTACGGCCAGCACGGATGTCTCTGCATCTCCCACCAGCTGGAGAACCTCCCCTCCAGCTTTTCTTGCTGATCTCCCAACCTGCTCCAAACCCCAGGGAAGCCACAACATCCATCCCTGTCTAGAACAGGATCCTTCAACCTTTTTGCCCGACTCCCTCCCAGAATGATGCCCAGCTGGCCCTCGGAAACTAGATGCCCCTTTACCGGTTACCCCGTTGGGTCCTGCTTCCCTTCCAGGGATACACAGTGTAGCTAGTGCTCTCTTTCCCCTACTTGAGCTGCAGGGATGGATTCACACCATTCCTACCATGCCACCTCCAGCCTGTGAGGTTCAGGCCAAGAGCTGCCGTACTCAATTCCC